CTGCGAGCGAGCTCCCTCCCCGGGGGAGCGGGGGGAAACCCGGGTTACAGCCCAGCCCGCTCGGGGGCTCTCCTGGCCGGGCAGAGGCTGTCTGCCGAGGCGGGGGTGAGGGTGACGGTCCAGAGGCTTTTGCTTGTGTGATTGTGGATAGGCTTATGAATTATTTCTTTCTTTCTTTTTTTTTTTTCCTGTACTCTTCTGTGAAGGTGTTTTCATTCAATGTATAATTGCCTTTTTCGTGTTGTGTGTTTACAATGAAATATATTCTCCTGGGAAAGACTGTATTATAGATATTATCTTCTGCGCGTGAAGAAACAAGTCTGTGTGAGCGCGACAGAGAGACTGGGGGAGGTAAAAACCTAACTGTTTCTTTTCCCGAAGCTGCCCCCAGTCTCTCTCCCAGCTAATTTATAGGAAAAGTGGGCAGGAGGAGATGCCGGTCGGGAAGATGGTGGTGGTGTGGCAGTGAGGGCTCTTCGTGCCCCCTGGCAGGTGTGGGGCAGCGGGTGAGAGCAGGGCTGGAGTCACCCAGAGGCTCTCCGCAGCCGCTGAAAACTGTTGGAGTTACCCTGAGCAGCACCGGTAAATAGAGACTGCTGCCCCTCTTGTCTGTGTCCTTTTTTTTCATGTTAATAACCTAATGAGTAGCAGGAGGACCAGTCAGGAGGAAGAAGGGATTAAAAATCACCTTCCCCTTTCCTTTCGCTCCACTTCCCAGCGAGGAAATCCTCTTGAACATCGATAGGGTGTTTTGTTGCATTTTAGCATTTGCGATGTAAAGCTGGACTTGGAAAATCCTGTTTGCTTACACCTGTGTACTGTGATTCTGCGATTTTCTTTTTTTTTTTTTGATTGTATCGCCATGTTTTAGTCAAATATAAATGATTCCCCGGCTCCCCCGCAGGGGAAATGCTCACAGTCCCAGTCCTTTATTTCTAAAGGAGAGGTACTGTCTCCTGCCACTGAAACGCTGGGGCCTCGGTAAATTTAGAAGACTCTGCCCTTGGCACATAGAGAAGTAACATGTCATCCCAGTGATCTTTGCATTCTAGGAAAGCCTAAATCAACATTGCTTGTTTTGCTTGTTGCCCTTTAGCAACAGTCTCTCAATTTCCAGTCTGAAGTATTACATGGACCCCCCCAAAAAAAGTTTTGGGTAAAGAAACCCTGTGATACTTAGTAACCACAGAATGTGAATTGAAGCAGTTGTCAACTGTGTCAAGTCTTTAGTCTGTTCTTCTGAGCCAAGAAAAATTGACTTAAGCATGGTTTTGGTGGATTTGTTTTTTAATTAATTCTATGCTTCCTGCTTTTTGATCTTTTGGTGCTGACATTGTTAGCTTCCAATGAGTCAAGAGAGGAGGAAAAAAAGATTGCTGCATGTGGCATTGATAGTCAAAGCAGGGCAAAGCACTGACTAATCAAACTTTCTGAAAATGTTGGTGGTCTTAATGATGAGTGGATGGTACTTGACAGCAAAGAGAAATTAAGTTATAGGTGTATTGTTGCCCCTTACTCTTGCCTTCCCCTTAAATAAGATTAGTGACTTCTACTGAAACCATTGCAGAACCTCAGCACTTAGATGGTGGTGTGCCCGTGCCCACTGGTAACTTGTGGCAAACAGCTGCACCTCTGCATCAGCCTCCACTGGACACCACTGCACTTGTAGCTCCTGTACTCTGAGGCTTTGTTCGCAAGAGAACTTAGAGTAATGAAACAGCCTTAGGTTTCCTTTAGTTCCACTGCAGGTCGTTTCAGATTTTATGTGTGAACAGAATTTTTCTAGCTCGGCTTCATGGCTGTGTTGTGTTTGTGTAAGTGTACTGCTGTTACACAGGAGGATGACTACAAATGAAAAAGATGAGGTGGTGGTGGCGGCGAAGCTTGTTCTCTCCGGTGTTTGCTTTGTCTGATCACTTTTATATTTTGGTATCTTTCTTTCCTCATTGGCTTTTGGCTTTTTACAAAATAAATGTATTATCAGCTCCCCAAAGTTCATCTTTTGGCAACCAAAAGTAGTGTCACTTTTGGAAAGTGCTGAAACTGAGCAACTTGCACTACTACTTTGCTTTTTCTACAAGCCTAGCAACCAAAGACCACTTCCCATTAACTGGAGTTGTCTTTCAGGATGAGAGCATCCCCTGTGAGCAATGCAGTTTCCATAGAAATATCAGCAACCGTGTAACTCCAAAGGGCAATTTCTCCCCTTATGTTGCTCATCCTTGCTGCTCCAGTATAGCCAAAAGGGTGCAAGAGTGACTCATTTCTAAATATACTTAATATTTGTGGTATAGGCAGGGCTTCAGATAAGATGATGGGCTCTGATGGAGTTCATTGTAATTGTATCTCTTGCAACAGCCAAGGCCCTGGTTTCATTTTTAACCATAGTGGAACATATCTTGTTTTAGAGTACCAGATCTCTTTTTAGATTTTTACCTGAATGGCAGTGTCCTAGAAAAGTTTATTTTACACTAGTTGGAGAGAAGTAAGTAATTGAAAAAGGTATTGCATTTAGATTCAATAAGGAAAAAAGGTTGGTTTCCACTTGATTTAGGTAGCTTTTGTGCTATTCAGCTGATTTTTTTTAAAAAAAGAAAAGATGGTTTACGGATAAATTGTTCTGATTCCTCTCTCCATGGCCTCTGCTTTGAAGCTTATGGAGCTGTCTGGACTCTTGGCATTGCTGGTGGCTGTTAAAGTAGGGTGGGTTTTGGGTGTGCGTTTGGTTTCGCACCCCCCTCCCTGCCCCGTGAAGTTGTTCTATTATCCAAAAGGCTTGTCTGTGGTGTTTATGCTGAAGAGTTTATTAACTGTCGAGGCTGTGGAGAAGGATCACCAAAAAGTTTCTTAGATTTGACCTGCAGTCACTCATACCAATTGATCAGCACTGCTGAAAAAATGAATAATTTTCATACTTTTTAGAACACAGTTTTTCTATGCAAAACTTTGCAAAATGGACAGCAGTGAACATCTTTATCCAGATCAGCCTTCATGAAATACTGAAGGGTTTTTCAGATTATTGCTTTGATGGATAACATTCTGTGTGCGATTGACATATTTTCCTCTTCTTTTTTTTGTCTTTGTTTTAGCTGAACTGGAGTTTGTTCAAATCATCATTATAATTGTGGTGATAACTGTTATGGTGGTAGTGATCATCTGCTTGTTGAACCATTACAAACTTTCAACACGCTCCTTTATCAACCGACAGAGCCAAAGCAGAAGACAGGAAGAAACTCTGCAGACGGTGAGTATGAGCCCCCTGCACCAAATTCTTTCTCATGCTGTACAGGTCTGCAGCAAAGCATCCTGAGGAGTTCTGGTGCAGGCAACTGTTGGAAAAACTTCTGATGTCACTTCTAATACTCCCTATAGCTAGGTCTTTTGCTGAGGCTGTATTTGTTCGTAGAAAAAAAAAATCAGAACATAAATTTGAAATTATTCTTTTTAGACCCTGCTATATTTTGTGTACCCTGTTTTTATTTTGGTTTGGAAATTATTTGGAAATTATTATTTCAAGGTTCACATGTGACATCGTTGTTGCTGCTGCTGTAATTTGAAGGGGAGTGGAGGGTTAATGAATGGAGATCACCTGGGGTACAAAGATTTGAAATACACTTTCCATATATTTACTAATATCCTGGAGTCTTATCACTATTACTGTCTTGTGAAGCTGCTGTAACTGTTTGCTTGATCCAAAGCACTGGCCCAGGAAAATGTAATGTTTGTTTCACTCAAACAGCAAGAAAATACTAGTAAAATTATCTATCCAAGAACCTGGAGTGGTTCAGATCTGTTGTTACAGAGCCAAAGGCTTAAGACTAAATCTCAGTTGAGACTTGTTAGGGCTGTCTTTAGTTGACCCAATAGTAAATGGGCACCTAACTTGCCTTGTGAGGCTGGAGTTTGCTGGGTGGGATGCACTGCTCCCTTGTGAGGTGTCGCCACAGGGTCTCCCTGACCTTTCGGTATCGCCCCCCCAAGCCACAAAGTATCCTGGGATGTTGCTGGAAAAAGTTCTGATGTGCTTTTTGATGTCCTCAGGGTGGTGCCCTGGGCCTCTTTGCTGGCTGTGATAGCCAAGGGGCCATTTGCAAGGGTAGCATTTTAATGCATTGGATTCCTGGCAATAATGTTGCATTCGCAGCTTCATTTCATTTCACTGTCAAAAAAAAAATTCTGTTTGTAGCTGGAAGGTGTGGTGCCATAATGGTTTACATCAGTCGTAAGTCCACAGTCTCACCTTTCTTTCCATCCCAGTCCTTTGTTTCCTCCTTCTTTGTGTTCCTTAGGGAGCTGCCAAGGTCGTTGTGAGAGGCCTCAGGGGGCTCAACTGGCTGAACACTAATTGCTCCCCGCCCCCCTTCCCCCCCAGTTAGATTTCAGACAGATCACTGCGCAAATTCCCTGGGCCCGGGAGGAGGCAGGGATGCTGCAGCCAGGGCTGGACCTGAGTGGCTGCTGCAGAGCTGCACCCTTGGCAATTTGCAGCCCCCTTCTTTGCGTTTTACAGCTGGCTTTCAGAATGCGGGGTTCCCCAAAGCTCTCACTTAGCACATCTCCTGCACCCCTTTGGCTGGGGTGAATAGAGGTTCTGTGGGGAAGGAAAGGAGCTGTGTCCTCAAAAGGAGGTTGCCTCATTCCCTAGCACTTCAGTAGCACAGGAATATCTAGCTCTAATTTGGTGACGGATGAAACTGGAACTTGTCAAACCTTAACCTTATGGACTTAAGGGCTGAAAAAATTGGCTAGATTAATTTGAGTGTTGCTTTGAAATGGACACTGTAATTCAAGAACCACACTTCTGTCTGAAAAAATGTTAGCTCTAATTGCTCCAAGTACCTAAAATGAAATAATTTGACATAAAGGAAATGCATTTTCATCTTCACAAATCTTTTAAAACTGCAGTAAGCTGTCAAACGCGTGAAGTAACCCATTATTTCCTTTGTATGGTTCATTAGTATTGTCTGTTATCAGAACGAGTGGCGCCTTTCCTCTTGGATGTGAGGGAGGAAACACCACCTTCTCGTGAAGAGGAACATGCAATTTTGCAGTGGGCACTTGGGAGCTGCTTTAGTATCCAGAACTGCTCTTAATTTTTAAAACACTGACTCAGTTTCAGTTTGATAGCACCCTTGTAAGTAATGATAATCATAGTCAAGTGAGCACTTCATGGGAATTGATGATTGGTTGGCAAGAACTGGTTACAAATTCTTCTGAAATCTCTCTGGTATAGGTTTATCATCACTATTACTCATCTGCATTTCTGATAAGCTGAAGCTGTTCTTAAAAGAAGGTCGTACTTGTGGAAAACGGGACTTATGGAGGTCCCTGAGGTCAGATGTCATATGTTTAAATTTTCCTTTGTCTCAAGTGTTAGAAGAAGTTCTGATAGGAACTGGTTGTGCGCTGCTTGCAATGCAAACCTTAAAATCAGTGTGCGGTGCATGAGGAGTGGGAAACTAAAGCGTTTGCTCTGTGAATCTGGAAACAACCAGTCTGTCCTCATTGTGCACAGCAGAGTGAGTTGTACAAGGTAAATAGATAGCGTGAGCAGTAAGATGCAGGGTTAGATTATACTTTTAAAATAGATTTCTTTTAAATCAGGCATGCCTTGTTTTGTGTGTAAGTGCTATTGATAAGTGGGGTTTCTTCCAAAGGAATGTTTTGGATTTTTTTTTATGGTATATGGACTCTGAAAACAGACTTAAATGTTTATTAACTCCTAATGTCTGAAGAAAATATCATTCTGACTCAGGCCTGTTGGTGGAGAAATAGCGAATGGAAATAGAGGAAGTTCAGCAGTATTTTTTAGAAGAAAATTGTAAAGAAAATAAAATGGCTAGTTCCTGTAATGAACTATGAAGTGACACCCCACCCCCCATAACTGAGGTAGCAGAGGTGTGTCAAGATGCGGAATCATGCCTTTCCTATTCAGATGGGCCTTTTTTTGTCCTTTAGTTACCTTCAATTTTCCTTTTCTTCAACCTTGTCCTGTTTGTAGATAATCATACTTTCCAACAGCTGAGCTGTGGCTGAATTGCACAGATTTCGGGCCCCGTAAAGACCAACTATCAAACCGATTATCTCGTATTCTAGTTCTTCTAGAAAGTGTAATATAAATGAACAGATACTGTATCTACTGCCTTTATTGCTAACTTCACACCTGTAAAACTCATGGGGTCAGGCCTCCAAAATAATGGAATAAAAGGTATTTGTGGGTTTCTTCTTTCTCTGGCTGGCTGAACTTCCTTCATGATAAGAAAGAAAGGAACAAAAAAAAAAAGGCCTGGAAGTTGAAATTCTTATTGTCTTCCAAGTCCAGAAATTAGAGTGTTAAAAAGAAGATGAAATATCACTGGAATCACAAGTGTTATAAAGCTCGAGGGCCAATCCAGGAAAAAACACCCAACAGTTGCTCTTTGACAAGTACATGCTGAAAAGTACTTGTTATGTTCTTGTTCTGTAAATATGCTTTCCTGTGTGACCACTAGTTCATCTTTTTTTCTTGTCTGCTTTTTTTTTTCCTCTCCTTTTCATCCCCTCTGGAGTCTCATCTTCCAATTTTTCTCCTGGTCTTTGTTTTATTACCTTGGTTAGTGTGCTGAGGCCTTAAACAGGTCACAGCAGGGGCAGGACAACCTTTGAGCACTCAGGAATACTGGATGCTTCTACAGCAGTGCTGCCAAGGATGCTGCTGCCTGCCCTCCCGTGGCAAGCCCTGCCCTCTCCTAGCATGGACATAAAAACATTCAAAACTTGTTTTAACATTACCAGAAATACGAGTTTTGAGGTCATAACTGCAAGAGGTGGAATGATGCTGAATGAGAACTGTGTTGGCATGAGTGGCAATCTGAAGTGAATGTGCATGGTACTGAATGGTGTCCATATCACGATGGATAATATACTGAACATTTCCCCCTGCTGGCCGATCCATCAGCAGTGTTTGGTTTCACAGCCAGGAGCCAGCTGAGGTTTGCTGAGCAGATGTGCAGGCTGTAGGGTGTGGAGTATACCAGGAGCATGGCCAGGGCCACTTCACTGGGGTGGCACAACCACTCCCATGGGGAGTGGCTGACGGTGCTGGGGGGTTTCGGGGAAGACCATGTGGCAGCCTTGGAAAGGCACATCCATGCACAGGGTATGTGTGCCTATCCCAGGGGAGGTGCATGTTGTGGCGTTGGTGGCTTGGGAGGACTGATGTTGTGCAGGGAGGGCAGCATTGCTGGTAACCAAAACCATCCTGTTGGAATGTAGGTAGCTGTGGCTGAGCAGCTGCTGCAGCACTCTGTTTGCTGGGATAAAATCAAGATAAATCTTGCTTTCTGATGATTAACTCTTGGTGTCATCACCGGTGATTTCCAGGGGGATGTTGAGGGAAAAGAGATTAACTAAGTGACTTACAGGGAGGTACTTAATGAGCTTCTGATGTTCCTAAATTGATTCCTTCTCCCCATCCTGGTGGCCTCTGCCTTTGCATCTTTTTCTCTTATAAAGTGGATGTTGAAATAGTACTGAACACTGTGACTGCCCCAGGCCTGCTCCTGGCAGCAAAGTCCCTGCATCCATCACACAAGATGCTCACCCTGACCAGCCCCTGCCTCCCAGCACTGAGGGCAGCATCACTGCTGGGGCGAGTCAGCTTGCATTAGGACCTATATTAATAATGCTCATCTCGAATGCCAAGCTCCAGGAGCACAGCTGTAAAAATACTGTCCTCCTCCTTGGAACAGCTATTTCAGAGTAAAAGGGGAGCATCAGGAGGGTGATGGAAAATACTCAGTAATGACAACTGCAGGGATTTGTTGGTGATTTCAGATGTTAGTGTTGCCTCTCAGCTTTTGAAATTTTTCCCCATCGGTGCTAGCATTATTCCTTCTGTTCCCTACTGGCATCCCTGGCCTGCTCATTCTCATTTTCTTACTGACATGTGCAAAAGAAAGAAAAGCCCAGTGGGAGCAAGAACCCAGTCTATAGCTGGTAGAGAGTGTAAGTGCTGTAGACCACCCTGCTTTGCCAAACCTTTTCCTGTGCACCAGGCATCAGCAGGCAGGAGCTGGACATGCACTGTTATCCTGCCATCTGCATGAGGGACATGGGCTTGCCTCTCTTCAGGGTGTGCTGCCAGGAGGGACAGTGTGCGCTGGCTGCTGCTCTTTGAAGTCTGCCACAATAAAGTCAGATCATCTTTAATAAGGGCGGGATTATCTAGGAAATCTGCAGGTAGGACTTAGAAGCAAGGAGTGC